ATAAGGTGCAGACAATGAAACATGGTAGTCTATGGAAAATAAACAGATCAATTGACTGATGCGATGTTTTTTAATTATCAGTGTCATAATTATCAACGTTTTTCACTCCAAGGTTCTGGTTACTCACCACGGTAGATATCCCACTGATGTGATCCTGACTGAGCAGACCAGTTGTCCTGATACTTCCTTGAGTTTCAGAGTGTGTTGTTAGTCTCCATGTATTTATCTCTGCGTCTAAAACAACTTAGCTCCATCCTGTCTGCCATCACAGTTGGTTTCCAAACCTGAAAAAATTTAAACATAAATTACCAAAAACAATTACAATGTATGTATGTATTTTACAGCTATACATAGAAGTTACTTTCAGATTAATATTTTATATAAACACATAAAAACATGATAAAAAATATGGTTCATTGACATCTGTAAAGATGTTTAAATTAGCTTAAACTTGCCAACTTTAAACGGTAAATCCACCCTGAATGAAATGACGATAATATGATGATATGCAAGGTAAAATTACCATTTTTGTCTTTAGAGTCTGGTTGCAAGCGAAATAAATATTACAGCATTTGTTTGGTTGAACAAAAGGTTTATCTTCGTAGGGATCTTTTCCAGAATGTTTTTAGACACTTAGAATGACAACCTGAGCGATCAGTGACAAAAACAAGCACTTTTAGTGGATGTACTTTAAATGGGTACATTTGTCCCCAAGGATTAACATTAGTTGACGCTGCAGCAATTGTAGCCTGTTTTCATGAATATTTTCACATCTAACGTAACCTTTCCTCCTGTTCACACTGGTTATTAAATTATCCCTTCTTGATGTGCTTTTACTAAAACTCTGGGATATATCCACTTGATTTGGTTAGCTAAATCTTAGAAGCTTCTGATCTTTTAATGGCCGATATGAAAAAGAAGAACATTTAGAGGAAGAAAGACATGTTTCAGTGTTCATTTTAGCACCTGTGAGATTAACAAAACTTGTTTTTTTCAGTTTATAATACAGAACAGCTACTGATACAGGTATAAGAAGAATATGATACACACTGTATGTGATTTAGCAATAGAATTCGGCATGTATATAAATATTATTGCATTTCCCTAGTAGAATTTTTTTTTAATCTACCTTGAATGGTCAACAGTAGAGTTCGCTGCTCTGATTTGGATCCATTTGAATCAAAGATCATAAGAGTGTATTCACCACCATCAGTCCTGCTCAGGTCATTGATCCTAAATGTTCCATCACTGGGAGTAAATGAAGATCTGTCTGCTATCAGATTAATCACTGCCCTGTTCTTACCCCCTCTGAGTATTGATGTTGTTTTCTTTAACCATTGGTATTTAAATATTTCTGAGGCACTGTCCATCAGCTGGAGGACCACAGTTCCTCCCAAAGCTCCATAACACTGAGCTCCATCCTGTCTGCCATCACAGTAGGTTTCCACACCTGGACATTTACAAAAAATAAATAATGATAATATCACAATTTGTATCATTTAGTTTTTGACTAGATTGTTGATCCTATAGTATAATAGTATTCACTGTTTCCTATGAAGCGTAGCTGCAATAAAGTGTCTGTACAATGTCATAAAGGGTATTTGTTTGTTATTTTAAAGCAAATTTCAGGTTTGATATGTAAAAATGACAGTTCATTGGATTTATATTTATTTCATTCCCAACTTTCAGCAGAATCTTAAGTTAATAAAATAAATTACAACAGCATGTTGTAATGGTTACTGAGAATATGATTCAGTGTTACCTATATAACTGACATCCCAGTCCTTCGTTTTACGCACAGTAATTGAGTAAGAATTAAAAAGATCTTTTAGCTTTTGGGCCTTTGAATTTCTTTGTTTTAATTTTAATACAAACAGCTTCCATTTGCCATCGTAAAGAGAGGGTTAAACACAAGCCGTCACTTACAGACCACAGAAAGCTTTCAGTTTGACAATTAAAAATCAAAGCAGAACAAACATTAAATAGTATTTAATTTATTTATGTGTCATGGTTCTTGTATGATTTTGGTTCTAGTGTGCGTCAGTGTTTGATCTTTAAAACACTTAAAATGATGCCAGACTATAAAATATGTCAGTTTGAACAAGTTAAACATCTCACCATGAGAGACTCCAAGTATCATCAGCAACAGTCCAATCACAGCTTCCATGTCTCCTCAGTGTCAGACAAACCTTTCTACATAAAAGCAAACATACACACCCTACACTGAGTAAATGTGTCCTGAAAAATGATCAACTTCAGATGAGAATGTGGGAAAACTTTGACGAAGCACAGAGGAGAGGAGAAAAAGGAATCAATGTTAGTTTTACTTCCCTTTTAACCCAGAAGGAGAGAGACACAATGGACTGACTGGAAGAGACAAAAACGTTCCTGCTTCATACTGAAAGAGGATTTGAAACTGACAGCTGATATTTATAAGATGACCATGTTCCAACATTAAAATAAAAGTAATTCATTCTTTAAAAAAAAAGTCTTAATTTCATCAGTTCTGAAAAAATAAGCATATGAAACATTTATGTCTCATTCATAAATAAATGATAAGGAATCAAAATTCACAGCCTGAGATGCTCAAATCTCAATCTGTCTCTAACCCACTAGCAGATCATTATAATAAGAGCATGTTGAACACATGACATTTATTTACACACAATACTGTAGTTTAAATTCTTCTTCAGATAGTGAAGTATATATACACAAAATTCGTTTGTGGATTTTTGTGTTTTAAGTTCAACTTTAAAGATAGAAATTAGGTTAAACAGTCAAATACTAGAAAATACATTGTCTTAAAATTAAGGATTCTGATCCACTAAACACTGTGAAGCAAAATTAATCAATGTACTGAACATGAATTTGAGTTTTTTCAAGTGGTTTTGAGAACTTGAAAGTTACTGTACTGTACTTGCAATGAAACAAAACATTTTACACTCAATATCTAATTAGGATAACCACAAGTAAAGCCTCTAGATGCTTTTAAATTAAATGTTTTCTCAACAGACAGTTTCATTGAATACAGGATTATCCATAAACAACAGTAACTCCTCTCTAGAGCCAGTAGAGGGAAACCTCACACCTACTAATACTGATGATGAGTGTGGAAGTTTAACAGTCAAGGTAAAGTTCATAATCAAAATATCAACAAAAAGGTGTTTACCTAAACTGACAGAAGGCACACATGATTTTATTAGTTTCAATGGATGATAATGTGGAAATCTACAGTACAATAATTCCAAAATGGCATCGAAATGAGTTGCACTATTAATATAACAATATAAGCTTTATTCACAATATGACTCTTGACTTCAGGATAAACTGCTGTGAGCCTCCGGATGATTTATCACTCTCCAAATGCAGCAGTGCACTGAAACTTTACAACAAGACAGTCTTTCCACATTAAGTAAATATGTAAACTTTCACCAAGTCAACAACCAGTGAAGTGACCAAGTAAAAACACAAACACTCACAGACCTTTCTATATGAACTTATTCATAGTGAGCTACTAAGAAGTAAAATTGAAAATAATTAAAACAGAAGAGAGTTTCTACTCGAAACCTTATTTTCACATCCATAAAGACACATGACCAATCACAGCAGTTGAGAGGAGGAAATAAGGTGCTGGTTCCAGAAAGTTAAAGTTCAGATGCAGAACTTCTCATTTCAACCATTAAAACAGAGTTCTCTTGATGTTCCCTCTTTCGAGGGACGGCAGAGCCTTTAGCTTCCTTGTATTTCTTCTTCTTCCAGACAAAATAGACGGCGCTCCCAATAAAGAAAAGAATCATCACAGCTGCTCGCAACCCAAATATGAGAAGGGAGTGATCTGTTCATGTAAAGAGACACAAAAATGACATGTCAAGTTATTGTTGACAGAGAGTTAATTTACAGCAATATTCGATTGGTATATGTGTAATGTGAGTGTAGAGTTTTATGAATACCTGGATGTCTCTCTACTTACCCACGGAAGTGTCTGTGATTGTGGTAGAGGCTGATGTTGGCTCAATGCACTGGCTGTTACTGGATACACTCACACTCTGTGATATGTGCATCCCGTTGGATAAGGTGCAGACAATGAACATGTAGCCTATGGGAAATAAACAGATCAATGACTGATGCGCTGTTAATCATCAGTGTCATAATTATCAAACTGTTTTTCACTCAGAGTTCTGGGACTCACCACAGGTAGATATCCCACTGATGTGATTCCTGACTGAGCAGACCAGTTGTCTGAGACGTCTGGTTTTCAAGGAGTGATGTTGTTAGTCTCATTTTTTCCAGAGAGGAGCTGAAGCGTCTGTCAGTGTGTGTCCATCCAGAGTCCAGCTGTACTGAGGACTGTCTCCTCCCTCCAGAGGAACAGGACACCCTCAATCTCTCCCTGGGACAGACACTCAGAGACCAGCAGGACAGAGGACACAGGAGCTGAAGGAAACACACTCAGATTAATTGTGATATAACAGAATATTGGTCATTATGTACATATTTATAATACAGAAGGCATCTATACAATTATATGTAACTAAGTAATATAATATGATATGACTTCTTTTATTTTAAGCTGACTGGCTTAAATAATTCTGTTGTGTTTCTGCCATCTCTAAAATAAACAGATATACTGGAATTAATTCAGGTGATGGATTTTTTTTTGTCCCTGTCCAGTAGAATAAAGTTCACTTGCTGTTGACAAAGGAAAAGCAAATATGAACAAAAGTAAAAGGGAAATAAATAGACTCTAGGCACCAGCCACAATTTACAAACTAAGGTAATTCTAAAATGAAAAGGTTGTAAAACAATTAAAGTGACTTATCCATTTAAAATGTGTATGCACTTTTTGCGAAATTCCGACGTCTTACATTTGGTGCGTCTATGTGACGTTTTTAGCTCAAAATTGTGAAAGCAGACAAGTCTGGGAAGTTTCCCCACGTGTTGAAGTACTGAAATACTCTGCTTAATATCTGGACTGGAAAGGAATTCAAAGGCTGTAGAATGTTTCCATGCAGTGTTATTGAAGGTTACTTCTCTGGGATCAGAATACGCTTTTTTTGCGAATTGAGCGGCACATAATTATAAATTATTCAACATTATACATACATACATACATACATACAGTATCTCTAGTATAATAGGTTGTGAACTGAAACCTGACACTCCCGGGCTGAAATATGAGTCTGACTCAGGCAGTGAAAGATAATAAATAAATAATAATTTTAATTAATATTAAAGTTCCTTTGTATGGAGGGCCGGTACTGCCAAAATCAAAAATAAATAAATTACCCAATACATTTAAAAAACATTTTTGACCATAGAATGAGCTCAAGCACACGTTATATTTGTAGTGAAGCAACTTCGGTCTGGTTTCTTCTAACCATCAGTTAGGTGTTACCCATCTCTCAGGTAAATGTTCATCTATTGTTTGTTTCCACATTCAGCAGAAACTGACAGAGCCTGTAAAATACATTGATTCAACGGTTCAATTCATACTGCATACCACTATGAAAAATATGTTCTACATAATGCATCCTGAAGAGAGGTCACAGGAAGTGACCATCAGGATAAAAGTTGAGGTTTAATCATAAAAAATTAATGCATTCATATTTTATGTCCCTAGGTGTAGAGGGAATTAAATTGAGAGAAACAGTGAAGTACAAAAGCTTGTGAAAAGAAAGGGTTTCTGCTGGCTCAGTGGGAAGAAACAGACTGATTGTGTTGATAGCTTATTTCATGCTCTGTGTTGGGGTAGAGGCAGCCAATTCTGTACTGGTAGTGGTCATGTAACTTGGTAATGTAAACTTCCAATAGGGTTCTCGCAGTGTTACTGCTCTGGCTCTACTAACTGACCCCTAAAAACTCGGCTCACCTCCCTGCTGGGTTTTGACTTGCACCATATCGGAAAGTGGCCCGTCACCTACAGAGGTGAAGCCCTGCACCCTGAGGCTGTAGGTGATGTCAGGAGTCAGGCCTGAGATGGTAGTCATACTGGTGTCATCTGTAATCTGTATCTGCCAGGTGCTGAGTGGAGCCGTCAGATCCGAGCTGTAGTAGACCCGGTAGCCCCTGATTCGACCATTGGGTTCCTCTGGCGGTTCCCACTGGACCAGCATTGTGCTGGCACTCAGCATGCGTGCTCGGATGTGCAGAGGCGGCGAGGAGGGGGCCTGTTCAGCGGTGCGCACCTCCACGGGGTCGCTGGGAGGTCCACGGCCAAAGTCATAGTTGGGCCTTAGTCCACCAATACTGTAATGGGTTGTTGACACACCATCCACCTCCTGGAAGTCATTGTTTGAGGACTTGGCTCTGGAGACAGGTTCCTGGTTCCCAGAGTCCCAGGTGAGAGTCACACTGGTGGCTGTGGTCTCAGTCACAATGAGGGAGGTGGGGGGCTTTGGCAAGGCTGAGGAGGGAGAAGCAGGGTATTAGATTTGGTACCAAAAATGGACTTGTAGGCACAATACAGCCGAAATGACATGACTTGTCATTTCTCCATTCTGTAACTCATAGCACTGAAATTATTGTTTTGTACGTTCTAGTGCTGTCTTAACAAACATGTAGAAAGAGACACATACAAGCACTGACATAGAGGCTAATTGACAAAGAGACTGCAAAAAGCACCTGCAAAGGTCTTTAATTTAACAGCAAAAACACAGGCCACAGCACAGGGGCAGCAGAAATTTCCAGAAAAGGTTCCAGATGCCATTTGTGTTATTTACTGTTTTATAACAGTCCATTACCTTTGACAGTGATCTGAGCGGTGGCTTCTATCATGCCCAGAGAGGACATGGCCACACAGGTGTAGTTTGCTGACTCACGGACGTTGGTGACCTCCAGCACGTTACGTCCCATTGGCATCTCGTCTTCCTTGGTCAGATCCTCCAGGCCCATCATCCACTTTACGAAGGGCAGCGGCGAGCCCACTGCCACACATGTCAGACTGACGCTGCCGCCTAGCATCACCTCTTTGTTGGTGGGTAGAATGGAAAATCTGGGTGGGACTCTTCTCACTAATTGTATGAAGAAGAGGTGCAGGAGAAAACAGTGAATAGGCATGTAAGGTGAATATGGTGAATTTTTGTGATTTCATTAATGATCGTGTCCCATAAAACACCACAACACTAAACGCTAACTCAGGAAAGCTGATAGATTTGACAGCTAATCGCTTTTACCCAAATGTGCAGGTGAGCACAATGGGAATGATAGTAGTGCAACCATAGGTTAAACTCAGTTATTTTTGGTGAATATCTTCCTATTCCTTATTTTGGCTCTGTTGATGAACATCATTGAATTATGTCTGATCGGATTTGATTTTAAGGGCTAAGACAAAAAACTGTTTAAATCAACTGGATCAGGAGATCTTGACTATAGCAGTGGCTGCCCATTCTGATGGAAGTTAGCTCCTTCAGACTTCTCTGTTTCTGTTTTGTTCTGTGTTCAGTTTTGTTGCTGGAACGTGCATTACCTGTGGTACAGGTGGTCTGTGGGGAGGCAGTGGGTTTTTATTGGAAAGCCGTGGACTTTGGGACAATCCACCCAGCCAGATCGACTGGATAGGACCGGCTCACCATGGCGGGTGCTATCCCCCCAAGACAAGAGGGGAAGAGAATCCGATGGGAGCCATACTGGCCCAACTTAGATTATTTTTATCTTGTTGCTGCTGTTCCCCCAGACGCAAATTTAAAAGATTCGCTGCAGAATTATTTCCCAGGTGTATATAAATATAAATAGCTTTACATAAGGATGTGGTCTTGCCATATGTCCTCTGGTTAGCAAGTCTGTAAAATATGAA